CACAATGTTCGACATAGCTTTTAAGGAGAAAGGACCACTCACACAACCTTTGAAAAGAGTACTGTCTTTCTCTTTCCCTGTAAATCCTCATTTCTAGTAACCCCTATTCATTTTAAGTATAAGAGACTTGTAAGGAACCTATACCAATACTCATAGTTTTCCTTCACACTTTTGCCATTTTAGGTATAACTTCAGATATATAAGCTTTTCCACCCCAAAAAAACAAGTTGTTGTTTTTTTTACAGTATCCAATGCCTGTTTAGGTTTCAAAATGTTAAATACAGTACCACTAAAGCTAATACGGTATTGTGGTTAAGACGACTGGATTGAGAAGACTAAGATTCAAATTTACTGTTTCATGTGGAAGCTGACTAAGTGACTTGGAAGTAGTCTCTCTCTCTCAATATATTTCATGGAATTCTTGGTTAAAGAAAAGTTGAGGGGAAGATTTTGTACACCATCTTCATCTCCAGGAAAAAACTGCAATAAATCTATCAAACTCTAAATAGCCAGATAACACAAGACCAGAAAATAGAACAAATTGCACTATTAGTTGTAAGCTTGTAAAATTTATAAGGATATTGAAAATACACAAATATTCAATATATTCCAAATCCAATGTTTTATTCTTTACACTCAAGTGCCTTAACTAGTTCTGTAATTTATTTTAAATATTATCTGACACCTACACACAAATACAAATTAATCATTACAGGAAGCAGTTGCCTTAAATTGCTGGCAAATTGAATAAGCATTACAGTCTCAGTCTTTATCGAGTAATGTAAATAGAAAAGTCTTTGCTCCATAAATATTTACTATGTAGCTAGTGAATCCAAATTCTTTTTACTGGAGAGAATTTAAATGATTCTTATCAATTTTTTTGGATGATACCTTCAAACATTCAAAAATCAGGACAAATATTCCTTTAAAATGTCATTACATTCCATTATTATATTGTTATAGTCAAAATCTAAGAGAGAAGAATTATCCATAGTTTGTTACTAATAATTTACATACATATAATAAACAATTACAGGTAGTTCTCATAATTTAGTGTTATGACAATACTGAAAAAAAATGGGACTTGCAACCACTCCTCAAACAGTGCCTTGCAAGAGAATCAGGTGATCAATGCCATTTGGTAAGCTGCTGATGAGACGCAAGAAGAAACAGACTCTCAACCAAGTGCTCAGGGATTGCTTGTCATGCTGCAGCTTTGAGATCATTTGGGGCAAGATGCTTTCATGATGCCAAGCCATGATGTGGCAAAAATGTCCCAGTGCTTCTCGCTGCATTGCAGTTCTGGGACTGCTTGTACAGCAATGTTCAGGGGCTTTCTGATATGCTGTGCCATGGGGTTTGATATTGCACACCTCAGTGGCAGTGACAAGTCCAGGGGAAGGGAGAAAGAACACACAACAATCAAGATGAGGAGGAAGGTCTATTGGCAGCGATAGTGGGAGAATACAGCAGTTTTTTTTATGATGTTTGGATGGCCAAAAGGGCAGGGATGGAGGAGAGACAGACTAACAGGGGGAGATGTAGGGGAGATAGTCCGTTGCCTTGGAAGAATGGAGGCTTGATGCTGGAAGGACCAAGTTGGATCCAGGTCGGTCCTCCCCTAACAATCTGCAGGATTTGTTTAACGACAAGACTTCCGGTACTGACATTGTGAAGCAGGGCGGTCACAACCACTGAACAACCACTTCATTTACTGATGGATTTGCCAGGCCCAATTACGGTTGTAAATGAAGACTATCTGTATTCCATATTTTAAAAAGCATGGCCACAATCGAGACCAGAATTTCAGATGCTAAGCAAGGCAGTTATTAAGTGAGTCATCTCCAATGATCTTTTTTGGCCATAGTTTTTAAGTGAATCGCAGCTGTTGTTAAGTGAACCATGCAGTTGCAAATCTGGCTTCCCCTATTGACTTTGCTTGTCAGAAGCCAGCCAGGGGATCACAAATGGCAATTACATCATCCTGGGACATTGCAACTGTCATAAAAATGCCGGTTACCAAGCACCTGAATTTTGATCACATGCCCCTGGGGATATTGTGACAGTCATTAAGTGCGAGTAGTTTGTCGCTTTTTTCAGTGCTATTGTAACTTTGAATGGTCACTAAACAAATGGCTGTAAATTAAGGACTACCTGTACCCTTTGAAAAATGTCAAGAATATGAAAAACAGTACCAATGGTATTTATTCCGGAGCATTATATATGAAGGCATCTAACTGCACCCTCTAGCGTTCACAGTTGAAAATGGCATTTTAATAAGTTTAGGCAATATACAGCAACTTATTATGAAGTTATTTAGTAGTGTTTTATTGCCTTGTCAATTCATGTTTTTAATCTTCTTCCTTGAAAATTGCCTTGAGTTGTTAGTCCACTGAGTGACCCTTTAAATCAGACAAATAAATAAAATGCTACTGTGCATCATCATCCAACAGAAGGAAAACATTGGCTATGTTGCTAATCTAAACTGCATGATGCTGACACTGGCTTGTGCACAAAGGCAGTACTATAGTCAAATGATAAGGAAATGAATTTTTGGTTCAGGAACCCAAGCCAACTGCAAGATCAAATTAGGTTTGTGAATATCCTCGACTTACTGCACAATCACAATTGGGATCACAACTGCTGTCATAAATCAATATAGTCATAAAGTGAAATGTCATATGGCTGCACTGACTTATTGTGGCAACCCTAGTTCTTCCTGTTGTGGTTAAATTGGAATCACGGGTCTTTAATCAAATAACCAGCCCAATCCAAGCCATTCCCAGCTTGATCCCTCTCAGCCTTGACTTCAGTAAGATAAGGTGGCGGCCTCCAATCCCCCACCCACCTAATTTGCTTCCTGCTATGTCATTTTGGCCACCCAGCCTTGCAAGCAGTCCCAGAACCAGGCAAGCTCTGGGCCGCTTGTCACATCCTGGGAAGCCTTCACTCTCCAGCAACTGTCATTATTTCTCTCCCCATCCTGCCCCAGCAAGTGGCAGCATTCATTAACTTGTCAGCAAATGCCAGCATTCTCCAGGAGCCTGGCGCAAAAGGAAGTTTTGTGTACTGTGATGCCTTTAAGCTGCTTTGTGCACTTTTTTTTTTTTATGCCACGTCAAGTCAACCCCATCTGGCCCAGCAGGCAGGACAGGCACGCCTCATCATGAGTTGGTGAATGTCAGCAAGAGCAGTGGAAAGGTCGGATGGCAGGGAGCCAAAAGGGCACAGAGGGAAAAATAGGCAGGGCAAGTTGCAGCTACCCTGTGGTCTAAAAGCAGGAGGGCTGCCAAACACCCAGATTTTGATTACGTGAGGTGTGAATGTGGGAGTGCTGCAATAGCCATAAACTTTGAGCACAATGTAAGCCTCATCATTCAATGTCGCCATAACTTCAGTCATTGAACAAATGGTTATAAATCAAGGACTACCTATACGTATTTTTTCCACGTCATATCTTAATATAAGGGACTACATTTTTGTTGTTACTTACACCGTGGATCTCTGTTTCACCTTCACGGTACTCGAAATAGTATTTTCATTCCAATAGCAGGTTTCAAAATAATTTCAGTAACTCACAGGCTGCCTCCCTGACATCTTACCTGTTTGTACTTGGAATGGAACTGTTGTGGAACAATTAATCCACAAACAGAACATCTTTACAGATATGTTAAACTACATCTGGCAGTACTACTAGAAGCTACCAACCTATCCAACCATGGCATGCATAACCACAGCAAACTTTGTGATGTCTAGCTAACATAAGATGTCTAGCTAACATACCTTGTTTTTTACTTGATTCTTTTAACTTATAAATACTTCAAATTAAAAATGAAAAATTTCACTGACATTGGCAGACCAGAGAATAGCAGATTCTAGAACTGGAACAATTCCTCTTTGTACTTCCTCTTTTTCATGGCAAAGAGTAGAAGGAAAGGTAATCACAGCTGTATACTATATCAGAGATCAGCAACAGGAATCAGACTTTATATTTTTGGGGTGAATGTGATAGTGCAAAGTGAATAGAATGTATTTTTTTAAAATAGCAATTGTTTTTGAAAGGCCATCTTTCTTAAGGATGATTCTTTTTTCTTGCTTTTTAAAGCTATATTAAGCCTATTTTTGGAATTAATTATATTAAAGATTTTGGGTACTTCTCATTTCAGAATGGCAGGGAACTATTATACTAGTTTTAACATCTCTGGTAAAAGGCTGATCTAGAAGATCGTGTCCAATATATATGAGTTTGCACTGTGGTTTAAGTGAATTAACCCATGATAGTAATGATCACAAATTACAATTAAGGCCTTTCTTAAACAGTTTAAACCATAGTTCACATTCAGATGTCATGCTAGATTTAATCACATCATAGCTTAGCAAGTCATGCAAGCAAAATCATAGATAATTAAATTCCTAATTTCTAATATATAAAAACCAGAAATACTAAAATGGAAAACAAAACATAAGAATATCAGAAAAAACATTTTGTTATTCAACCAGGTTTTGACAGCCTATTGCACCAGTACTTTGCAAATACAGATTTATAAACAAAAGTAAGAAGTTAAAATATTGTCCCGCAAAATCTGATGTTTCAGAAATTATGAGAATAAGCCTATTTAGAATTACGAACATTTAATTCAGAAATTAGAGAAGGAAAAATTCTTTGACGTAAATCTTAGCAGAGATTTTTTAAAAAGCAAGAACAGAAATAGTAATGCTATTTTTATTTATTTATAGATATTATGCTTTCAAAGAAAAATGTTTGAACGGTGCTACAAATACCATGTTTCCCCAAAAATAAGACTCTGTCTTATATTTTTTTGAACCCTGAAATAAGCACTTGGCCTTATTGCCATGTGCTCAAAAGCTTATTGGGCTTATTAACAGGGAATGTCTTATTTTGGGGGAAACAGGATAGTTGATAAATTGAATGTATTCATCTTGGGAACTTTATTCTCTACATTCTAAAACTGTACTTAAAAGTATTTAAAGTTACTCACCTTAGATTTAATATAGAATGGCGATGACTGCTGATGTATTGCTAAGTCCATGTTACCATTTGAATTTGTGATACTGTTACAATTAGTTTGCTCATCTCTGCTGCTTTCATCAGATTGATCAAAATCATCACTGTCTTGGTCCATTTCTTCTTCTTCTTCCATGTCCTCCTCTTCCTCTGGTATGCCAGTATGTTCATCTTCCTCCTCCTCTTCTTGGTTGCCAGAATAATCTTCATCTACTTCAATAAATCTGTTGTTGTTTTCTTCCAATTGAGATTCATTTCTATGACACAGTCCAGGTTGGCCTCCACCAATTTCCCCATTTCTTGCAACAACTTCATCTTGTTGTCGTACCTGTTGTTCCTCCTCCACAACTCGATTCATCTGTTCTTCATCCACTTGGCTTGATGAAGTATTACCTCGAATAGACCCACCAGTTCTTCGTCTCTTGCTGCCAACAGATATCAGTTCCTGATTCATTTCCAAAAGCCAGTTTGCTACTTCTTGGACCTTCCCTAAACTATCTGAAGATGCAAATGTTTTTACATTCTGAGAAGAGAAAAAGAAGAGAATTGTCACAATTATAAACTTTATTATACTCTTTAATTATATAGATCTAAATATTAAGGATATCTTTTAACACAGAATACTTCTGATGAAGCATGTCAACTTAATTTTATATTGCAATGAATTTATTGCAAACAAAATCTTGTTCCTATGCATTTTAATAAATATTCTGTTTTATATATTAAATTAAATCTAAGTGGTATAGGAGGAAATATTAAGAACAACACACTATATGTCCACAATAACACAATAATAGACCATTGCATTTAAATTTGACATTGATGGTAATGTCAGGTGTAATGAAAATATTTTTAAAAAGGCAACCATTGTTTTAAAAAATCTACTTCACAACTGATTATGGGATGTATTTTCTCTAATTATGGTAATACTTTAGGGCAGCGGTTCTCAACCTGTGGGTCGCAACCCCCTTGGGAGTCGAACGAGCCTTTCACAGAGGTTGCCTAAGACCATTGGAAAACACATATTTTCGATGGTCTTAGGAACCGAGACACCACTCCTCTATCCGTTTCCAGGCAGGTCCGATCGTGCGGCTCAGCTGGGATTGTCAGAGGCTTCCAAAAGCATTTTTTTCTGCAACCTCTTCAGCTGAAGAGGTTGTAGAAAAAAAATTGCCTTTAAAAGCCTCTGGCGATCCCAGCTGAGTTGCCTGATCATCAGAGGCTTCCAAAAGCATTTTTTCCTGCAACCTCTTAAGGTTGTAGAAAATATGCTTTTAAAAGTTAAAAAAAAAAAGTTGGCCACGCCCACCCAGTCACATTATCCCCCACACCAAGCCACGCCCACAGAACCGGTAGTAACTACATGAGGAATTGTATTAAAGGGTCACAGCATTAGGAAGGTTGAGAACCACTAGTTTAGGGGAATGGAAATGCATCAAATAATATATACATGTGTAACTGACAACATAAAAATCGTTCAAGATTTACAAACTTATACATTTGGCTAAAAGATTACAAAAAGTGTGAACAATTCAAAAACCATTCTGTAAATTCTTAAAGAATTTCAACTGTTGTAGTTAAAAGCTGTGGTGGTGCAGTGGTTAGAATGCAGCATTAAGGGCTACTTCTGCTGCCTGCCATTCGAATCTACCATATTTTTTGGAGTATAAGACGCATCTTCCCCCCCCCCCGAAAAGTGGGTGAAAATTTAGGTGCGTGTTATAGACTGAATACGGGCATTTTTGCCTCTTGAACCCTCCCCAAGTCATGTTTTTACCCTCCCCGGCCCCCAGAAATACTCTGCAAGCCAAAGATGGCCCCGTTTTTGGCGAAAACGGGCCGTGTGGAGCACTGCAAAGTGCTTCTGGGGGCCGGGGAGGGTGAAAACGCAACATGTGGAGGCCAAAAACTTTTTTCCCTGTTGTTTTTCTCCTGTAAATTTAGGTGCGTCTTATGGTCCGAAAAACATAGTAACCAGGCTCAAGATTGACTCAGCCTTCAAAGTTGGTAAAATGAGGACTCAGATTGTTGGGAGGACTATGCTGACTCTGTAAACCGCTTAGAGAGGGCTGTAAAGGGCTGTATATAAGTCTAACTGCTATTGATATTAAAAGTATTGCCATAACTGCTCAGGACATTTTATTATCCAAACTAGGCAATATTATCAGTGCTCAGTTAGGTAACAAAATGTCTGCAAGAAAACAACCAAGCTTAGAGAACACCAATATGTATCACATACAGCTATGAGAGTAGACACTGCGTAGCTATGAGCCTGGACATATATGCATGCTCAGCAAATGTCAATTGAATGGTAAACACATGTTGAATATATTGTAAGAGAACCAATAAAGGAGAATATTTGTAGTTCAGGGTTGAAATGAAAGGTCCTCGGTTTCACTAGCAATGATATTACCTAGTTTACACTAATGATCACTAATCACTAGCACTGATTATGTTACCTAGTTTGGTAATGAAACATCTGCAAGAAAACAACCAAGCTCAGACAACACCAAGGACCCCTTATTGTAAGAGAATCAGTACTAGTTGTTTCCTTCCCCCTAGGAGAAGATCAAGCTCAGTCTACTTACACATTGTCAGAGGCTGAACCAACCAGGAACGGAGACAGAAAAAATCATTCTCATTGTCCCTCCCTCCTCTCCCTACCCTTTCCACACACATACACACGTTTACTATTTATTAAATGTTTGTCTTGTCATGACAATGAAAAAACAATGAAACTGTGATGACCATAGCAACTGAGATATTGTTTTTGTTGTTACAGATTCCCAAATTAAAATTTGATTTCTATGAGACAAACAAAACTGCAATTGTACTAATATTAATCTATTAAATTTTTAGCCTTACATAAATAAAAATTAATTTCCAAACATCTGTGAAAAGAAATTAGCACACAACGTTTATACTGAGAATTCACTCTTTTTAACAGAAGAAAGTAACACACTGCATACTATTTTAAAGACATTGAAAAATATAAAGTCATTCCATGTTTAAGTGAAATTAAAAGTTTATAATAAAAGCATGACCAATAAAATTTTAATGTTATTCTAAATTTATTAAAAATGTAAGCAATATATGATTTTATCATAGCCTGATCTTTCTAAAGGGGATGAGATGTAATAGCAAAGGATGTTATGTCTGCTGAGACCCAGAAGCATTGTTTCTCCATTACTGATCAATATTGTGGAATAAACTCACTTCTAAGATCTGATGATCATGATGACCAGAGTGTTGTCCACTCTGGTCAACATGAAAAAGTAGAATTGGCTCTTCCTTCAAAGATTAGCATCGAGAATCTGCATTCTACTGTATAGGTAGTCCCCCGTTTATAACCACAATTGGAACCAGCGGTAATCATTACTTTGAACTGTTACTAAATTATTATAAATCAAGGACTAATAATCCTATTTTGTCCTATTTTATTTCAATTGGTATTCTGATGTAGCAGGGTATTTACTATGTTCTATTGCAGGGGTGGGTAACTGTGGCCCTTTTACAACCTGTGGACTTCAACTCCCAGAATTCCTGAGACAGCCAAGCTGTCTATTGCATTACTGTAAAATGTATAGAATATTTGTAAATTGGGTTTTACAAACACTGTGAAATAAATACCAGTAGTAATCCCTAATGAATCATTTGCTGTAGTAATTGACCCCAATCCTAATTTTTCAAAAATATTCAAGAACCGAGATGGCTTGAAAATAAAAGTGCATATTAAATAGTTTTAAAGCCACTTGTCATCAATTTGATAGTATAAGCATACTGTATAAACAAACATTATTCTGTATATAAAAAATATACATGACAGACATTGATAGTTCTCAATGAACTTTTTAAAATTTTATACATTTATATAAAGCAAATGAAAAGGCATATGTGCTATTAAAATATTTTAAGTTGTAAATATTTTCTTAAATATTCATTTTAAATTTAAACTAAATCTTCAGTTCAAAAGAGTAATTTCCAATAGTCTTCAGAAGTATGAGACTATACTTTAAATCTTTATGGCCTTTTTGCTTTACTGACTGTAGGAGTAAGATTTGTAGACCTAGGAGAAACAAGATTATGGAATACTAATTTACATTAAGAAGTAATAAAGAACTAGCTATTGACATTTTAAATTGGCTAAGTATATAACATTAGCATAAAAGTGGATGAAAATATGGCAAAGACTCAAAGAAATATTGGGATTCAATTCCTCCAGTTAAACCAAACTGTTTTAGAAATTTAGTCGTAATCAAAAAATCAAAGCCAATGTATCTTTGATCACACAAAAGTACTATTTGGTTCTTTAAATTTTGCCCAAACCACCACTACCACCCCACACACAACATTATCATATCACAATATGATAATACGATATAACACTGAAAAGCCAATTAATTTAATTTATTAACAGGAGATGTGGCACCAATTGATCCACTGTAATGAGAATAATGCTATATTTGAACAAAAAATAACAATTAAATAGCTAATGTATGATTCTTTGGGAGATGTTATGAAAATGTTTTAGCTTGCTATAGTATACCACCACTCTTGTATTGCTAAGTTTTGTTCCCTAATAATATACAAAAGTAATACACTTTTATTCACTGAATTTCTCTTGCGTATGCAATGATTTGATTTCAAATTTGATTTCAAGCTAGACTAAAAATGAGAAACATATCACATCAGATGCATTTTCGCATTACTCCACTAGAGGGTAGCTCTTTCTGCTTATTAAAGTAACTGATAAATTATTTTAAATAAGCGTAAGATGTAACTGAAATCATCAAGTAAGAAACCTCTACAGCCTCTACAGTTAATGTATTATTTTAAAATACATCTTTCATTCTAATGGAAACTAAATAATGAGTATACAGATCTCAGAAGTATCTATAAAGAAATATTTCTATACATTTGTTTCCATAAATGTTAAATTTGTCTTAGATTCCCTAATTCTAAGATTATCTTAATTACATTAATATCTATTTATTCATGAAATAAAGTTTTAGCAGCTCAAATCGCAGGATATTGTGCTAGGGATATGACTTTTTTGTTCATTGGCACTGGATGAAAATATGGCAAAGACTCAAAGAAATATTGGGATTCAATTCCTCCAGTTAAACCAAACTGTTTTGGTCTTAAGAGACTATGGTATCGTGCTCTGGCATCTAGTGTGACTAAAAAGGCCAATTCGAAAGTGGCAATCCCTTCCACACTGAGGGCAGATACATTCTGTCCCCTGCCCAGTCCCCCGATTTCGCTGGTTCTGGGACTGCCTCTTTGCCTCAGCCTGCCAAACAAGTGTCTCTTCGAATTGGAGAAGGCCATGGTGCGTCTTTAGCCTCCAAGCTGAACAATCGGAGGTCAAGGTTTCCCAGTTGCTAATGTCCATTCCCAAGGCCTTTAGGTTCCTCTTGCAGATATCCTTATATCGCAGCTGTGGTCTCCCTCTGAGGTGCTTTCCCTGCACTATTTCTCCATACAGGAGATCTTTCGGAATCTGACCATCAGCCATTCTCA